CACTAGCTCCATTTCCTCTCGGTGATAAGTCAGTTACCCTGGCCAGGACCTTACTGTTGCCTGCTGGTGCCTGACACAGGGCCCAAAGTGCCTGAGCGGTGGTGTAGCTTAAAGACCAATGAAGACTCTTGCTGTGTTCCCTGGTAGAAATGTTCCCCCTCTGGGAACCAAGACCTTCAAGCCTGTGGTTACAGTTGAAAGCAGAAATTCCCCACATGGGTCACCAGAATTGATGGTAAATAGGGACACTCCCGCTTTCACACATTGGATCTCATTTCCAGGTTTCCTACTGAGGATAACAGCACCATATAATGGTGATTGATTTAGAGCATTTTGCATCCTGGAGGGTGCAGCACCCTGTCCTCATAGGGTATCATCTCCAAGATGGCAATTCAGCCAAGCTTTTGACTGGCTGTTCTATTGTTTACCAGGCCAGTTATTTCTGGGTGCTATACCATGGGATAGGTCCAATGGATTCCATGCCCATGTGCCCACTGGTCCGCCTCCTTGGCTATAAAGTGGTTCCTGGATTGGATTTCATATTTAAGAAGCTCTTTCATCTGACCAGGGACAAGGAAGCAATTCTAAACAGAGTGTGTTGGATCACTTGTGTATGCAAAGGTGATCTTGTGTAGGAGTGGTGTTGACACCACGAGAGCAGCAGTCTCATGGCTGGTCCGGGAGCGAAGCAGGTTTTATCTTTTTATGCCACCTGTTTAGCAAAGCATCTGCTTCAGCGCAAGGGAAGATATGAATCAGTGGAGCCATCTCCTTCGGCCAGGGCTAAGGTGCTTGTTTATTTAACATGTTTGCATGAGGAGCACAGGGAATTCGTCTGGTTCCTGGGGTGAGGGCAAAAGGGAATTAGAATTAAAATTCTTTTCCAGGTCTCCATTACCACTTATCTTAAGCTTTTCTTCCCATTTTATGCCATGTTTTTTCATCCCAACTTTAAGAGTAGAAACTATCCCCAAGGTAGCTTGATCAATAAGGACTGAGGTTGTAGAGCTTGTTGTCACTGGTCACATTCACCTGCTTGGTTAAGCTCATTGAAGAATATCCCTCTAGATAAATTCTATATTACATTTGCATAATCCTAGAAATTATATCATCTCAAGTCTCAAAAACAATGATGTTGTTTTTGAGAATGCCAGACAGATTTCCTGACTGTGTATTAACATAACCAGGTAAGCAATCTTATATAGTGACCTAAATGTTCCCTAGTTAACCATTGTAAGAGTTGGTGGTTCTCTGGTTTATTTCTCTGAATCTTGACTAACCACGAGAAGAGAGAGGGGCAGAGAAGAAAAGGCGGAGATAATCTGAGTGCTCCCAGCTGTTTTCATTCTCTCAGGAGAAATAATATTCAAGTGTTTAAGAAAGTAAGTGAAATCCCTTTTAATTTTGCTTGCTGAATATCAAGAACTTCCCAGTGACCTGTGAAAGACATGTGTCCGCCTAGGGAACCTTTAGAAGACTTCCTTGGCCAAGAAAGTTGTGTAAGAGGTGCATTCAGTCAAGCATTAGACAGCCCAGCTGAAGGAAGTGGGGCTGGTTTGGCTGACCCATGCCTGACCCAAATGATACTCGGAGCAGAAGAGCACAGTGGAGGGGAAGAGAGTGAACAAAAGATGAGGTTCGGAGTTTCCGTTTACTGAGATGCACTTTTGAAACGAAATTCTGAAGCCTCCGAGAGTGCTTAGAATGGCTCTCCTATGTCCCATGCCACCTTAAACCTTACATTAACGATATTTCATTAGTTTATTGACAGACACTTCTTATCAGCATAGTCCTATATTAGCATGAACTCCAGGATGGGGTACTCCCCCTGCCCCCACCTCTGGAGATAAAAGCCCAGTTTCTTCCTTAAAAAACTACTAGTAAATGGAGTCCTTTTGCCCTGTAGGCAAATTTAGAGGGCCCTAAGATAATCTCCTTTGGAACAAGTAATTTTGCTGTTTTTAGGTAACAGTTACAGAGAGCTTTTGGAGCTGGAAAAAAAGAAATCACCCAGCAACAGTGCACAGGCCGATTTTAGGTGAAAAGACTGTAATTTGTCTGATAGAAACTTACTCAATCCAATAAATAGTCCTAATAAATATCTGATTCTTTCAAGTACTTTAACTGGTTAGGTGTCCTTTGTTCCAGGTATAAACAAGGTCATTGAGTCAGCTATGCAGGGTGACTCGCTTTCCTAAATAAATAACACTGTTTCAGGCTTCCCTGTCTTTGAACACATTGCTCTCTCTTCTAGAAGGGCTTTCCTTCCCTTCTTCATCTAACTACTTCTTGTCCACCTGAATTTGGTCGAACTTTTTTCTTAACCCCCACTGTCTAATTATCGGTGCCTCATTTGTGTTCATTTCGCATTCGGTATCACACTTTCATCTTGGGCTGGAATAATCAAACTACACCTTCCTTGGAATCCACAAGCCATGTCTTACTAAACTTTTCATTCTCCAAGATTCTGCAAGCACAGCGTCTGGCCCATGATAAGCAGTGAGTGCTCAGGAAATATTGATGACTCAAACCCCAAACTCCCATTTTTTTCTCAAACACGTTTTACAGGAGAAACTGACTTCAGTGTCTTTGAGAAAAGTAGACCTCTTTTAGAACATTCACTGAGTGGCTGCCACCTTGGGGTCAAGCCACTTCATTCATTGCAGATCGAGGGTCTTTACATAACCCTTCACTCAGGGGTACTGAGGATCTACCACACCGATCATCACTCCGGATACTGAGGGCCTCTCAATAAGCCCAGAAGTCCTGTTTTAAAAGAGTTTATAATCTAGGAAAGAAGATAGGGATAGATAATTTACTTCTTACCAGAATTGAATGGAACCTTTTAGAGCAACGTGACATTTATGTATCAGAATTGTACACTGTCCTGGAAACTACAGCTGACACCTCTGCATGAACTTCAGTTGCTGTTTCATCAGGTGGAGAATGCAGGGTAGGAAGACAAGAGTGGGTTTTGACCTGGATTTTGAAAGATGAGTAGGAGACTGATATGTACTGATATGGGGTGTTAAAGATAACAAGAACTCCACGGTGGTTAAGGCAGTAAAAACAAGAGTTTATTCAGCAACTATTGCAATAGGGGAAAACAAACCTCACTATAGAACTGGACTCAGTTCCCTTGTGGCAATAGCTTGTGATCAATATCTGTTTTTACTTCTTTAACTACTGTTGGGCTCTGGTTTTCTTTATGGGAGGAGAGGGCATTCAGGATATCTCAGACTGAGGCCAAAGAATGAACAAACATAAAGAGGAGTAAAGCAACTTGGGGAAAAAAGTAAGTAATCCAAAGAAATCCGTTCCCAGTCAAGGGAAGCAGGAATTCTCTGCAGCCAGAGCATTGGAGTAGTGTTGAGTTAGCCCTGGAAGATGAGCAAAAGTAGGCGTCTTTTAGATTAGCTGAGCTGTTTGGTGATGCTTAAAAAATGGTGTGTCTTCCTATTTAAACACGAAAAGTAAGTTTGAACAAATCTGCTTGGAAAGTTACGTTACGCCAAGAAGCCGGGACTTTATATTGTGAGGCCAGTTTCCCGAGAGCTGCTCAGTACTTTATAAAGGTGACTGCAGTCTCCATGCTTTCCCAGGTGGCTCAGTGGTCAAGAATCCGCCTGCCAATGTAGGAGATGCGAGTTTCGCGTACCTGGGTGGGGAAGATCCCCTGGAGAAGCAAATGGCAACCCACTCCAGTATTCTTGCCTGGAAAATCCCACGGATGTGGCGGGGGTGGGGGTGGGGGCTACAGTCCATGGGGTCACAAAGAGTCGGACAGTCTGGACTGCTGAGCATGCACGCGCACGCACACACCACACACGTGGTCGCGATGGATGCCAGGCTGGATGGAGCAGCAGTTCGCATACCCACTCCCGGCCTGTTTATTTATTTATTTTTTTTTTCATGTTTAACAAATAAATAAAGGGTCATTTGCCGTCTTAGGTCCCTTCCTATCCTGATAGCCTGCATCCGAGGTACCACTGCCTTCCTTCCATTACCGGGGCCCTGTACTCCCTCCCTGCTTCCTTCTGATCTTGGTGCAGGGGCCACTTTCTCTATTCCTGGGCCTCAGGTGCTTGTCCACCGTAGATTAAATGAGAGATGCTGGGGGGCTCGGGGGAGAGACATCTCTGGAGTACCAGTCCTTCCTGTAAGGCCTTTTGCCCCTGGCAGCAGCCCATAAGTAATGCTCCCGTGGGCAGGCGCGCTTTGGGGCCGGGAGAAGGGTTTCCAGCCGAATGTGTCCTTCCTAGGCCCCTTTCGGGTGGCTGGACGACCTCCTCCCCACGGCCAATCATCCAGAACGAAGGCAGCGGGAGCAGAAAGGCAGGACAAAGCCGCTGCGAGTGCCGGCAGTCACCGAGCGCGACCGGGCCTCTCCGCAGAGCCTGGGGGCTGGCCTCGAACGGCCACTCGGCTTCTCGGGGAGCCCCGCGCCCGCTGGCCGGGGCCGAAAGCCTCGGGGCTCCCAGCCCGCCCGGAGCGCGGATTTGCCCGGGGCCGACGGGCGGCGGGCCGCGGCGTCACGTGAGGCGGCCCGGGCCGCGTGACCCGGCGGCCCGGCCCCCGGCGCCCCCTCCAGCTCCGCCCCTTCGCCCGCCACTCGCCGGAGGTTCTCGGGCCCCGACGCCTCCGAGGTCCCGGCGGCTCGGCCTGGTGGGACGGCGCGCGGCCGCGGCTGGCCTCCCAGGTACCCCGGCGGGGCGGGGAGGCTGGGCGCGGGCCGGAGCGCACTGAGGCCCCTTCCCCTCGCTCCGCCTTCCCCGTGGGCCCGGCCGGCGCGCCCCGTTCCTCCTGCGCGCTCCCCCGGGCCCGGGTCCCCAGGCCCCCGGTCCACCGGCGCTGCAGCCGGACGGGTGATGGGCGGCCGGCTCCGCACTGTTAGCGCCTCTGCTGGCGTTTCATCCGAGGAGGAGGAGGAGGGACGGGGTGGGGGGGAAGCTCTGGAAAGTTTTCCCGGCTCCCTCTCTTTCGGGAGCTGCGGAGACGAGGTTTTGCTCGGAGCTGAAGTCTGGCACTGCTCTGGGCGCTTGTCTGGGAGAGAGGAGACCTCCCCGCCGACTCTCCCGGTCCTCCCTCGGCCCTTGCCAAGATCTTCGCATCTGCTCCTAAGCCTCAGTAGGTCGCCATACTCTGCACCGTCTCCCTTTCCCCCGCAACACGGAGTCCAGCAAAGGGGTTGGTTTTATTTAATAGGGACTTTGGTCCAGGACTGCGATGAACCGAGTGAAAAGACATTTCTCTAGTCCTGCCTCGGTTAAGCTGTCTGCTCTGTTTAAGATGACCGTCTAGGCACGCTCTATTCTGCTCTTCTAAGTGACTTTTTATGTTTATTTGCACGTGAGACACTCCGAAATCATCTGCTGCAGAACTCTGCATCTGGGGATTACAGTTTTATAAAGCAGTTTCATAACACTTAAGAAAACCCAGATTCATAGTCCTATTTGGTTTTGGCTTATTCTTTTTGGAGGGAGGATTATAGCTCTTGGGGGCAAAAATTGAGTTTCTGAAGCTGGTGTGTGTTGTGGGCTAGAACATGAAAGTGTCGAGGTATATAATGCCGAAAGGAATGGGGGAAATGATTTGAACCTGACAACAGTGTGTGGTGTGCTTTAAATTTTAGCAAGTATCTATTTGTAGTGAGCACTCGTGAAATTTCACCTCTTTGGACTGCCTTCAGGGTTGAATAGGTGTATTTAGAGTCTATTAATATGGCAGTTAATCTGTGGAGTGGATATCTTTTAATCCATTGTGCAAACCAGTCCATTTATTAATACTTCTGGACTAGTCCTTTTTTGCTACCCTCCCAGCGTTTCTGTTGAAGAGGAAGGGTATTCATCTTTAAAGAGATTTCTGCAGTGATTTTTAGGTGATCCAAACGATCAAGTTCTGAGACCTTCAGAAAGCAGGTTGCTATAAAAATCAGTGCTATCAAGTTTGCGGCTTAAAAAAAAATCCTTAAAATTGTTTAAAGAGTTGCCTCTGTGTTCAGTGTCCAACAAAAGCTTGGCTTCATCTTAATAATCAACAGCTCAAGCTGGGAAGTCCAAGACAGTGTCCTCCTTTATCTGAAAGTCAGAGTGGGGAAAATGAAACAGAAGGAAACTGAAACATCTTTTTTATCATTATTACACTGTTCCTTCTGTGTGTACTGCATTAAACAGTAAGACAGGCATGGAAAACAAGGTTTGGACCCTCAAGGAATGTCGAGTGCAGGCAGACATTAAAAAGAATGTACATCACCTGTAATTTGTATCATGTAAAGAGAACAAGTTAATATTTGGGGTGTAAGTCCTTTAAAAAAAAAACAAAAATTTTTTGAAGTATAGTTGCTTTACAGTGTGGTGTTAATTTCTACCATACAGCAAAGTGAATCAGCTATATGTCTACATATATCCCCTTATAAGTTCTTTTTACAAAACAGGTATACTGGATTGCTCTGTTCAGATAGATTTCGTATTGTAAAAGGTACTGTGATACTCAAATTTAGTCCATTCCTGAGCCTAGAAGAGCCTTGAGTATTGAAGTACTTAGCCACATCTATTTGATCCTTGAGTTTGAATGGAAAGAGTTAAAATAGCTGGGGAGACCTCTCTTTATATATATATTTAGTATAGAAATGTTTTTAAGATCATACCCATGCATACATTATATATTGTAAGTTGTGAAATGACTTCAGAAAATGATGAATCCCATCTAGGGAAGATTATACTCAGACCATTCCTGAAGTCTCATGGTCTGTCTCCATCCCACAGTCCCAGAAGAGAAGATTCCATGGCTTTTGTGAGCTTAGCATCACAAGGGGGAAAAAGAATATTTTTGCCCAAATATTCTTTTTGATGCTTAAGAAAAAGTTTGAGTTTTGGAAACAAAGTCCATACCCTCTCTAGTGCTTCAATCCTGAACTCAAGTGGTATCTTGAAAACATTCAATAATGCTGTCTACAGCTGTGGCAGAGTGTTCTAGAGGTGACTGCCAGCAATTTCTCCCATCTCTCCACTCCTCCCCTCTCCATATCCCGCCCCTCCTCCCCTCAAGAGATGGAGTCTGTTTTTGCTCCCTCTGAACCTAGGCTTTCCATGTCACTTGCTTTGACCAGTAAATGTGGTGGAAGTGCTGTGTGTCAGTTCTGGACATAGTCCTTAGGAGCCTGGCAGCTTGAGAATTTACTCTCTTGGGGGCCAACAGCTAGCTTGAGCTAGACTAGGTGGAGAAAGACCACCTAGAGAGTTTACCTGGCCTGTTTCAACCCTGGTTAAGCACCCAGTGCCTGCGATCTCAGCTGAGCCCACTTAAAACACAGAATTGAGTGAAATGACAAATTGCTGTTGTTTTAAGCCACCGAGTTTTGGGATGACACGTTACTCAGCAACACATAACTGAAACAGCATAGCACCTTGTACCATACCCTGGGTATGAATCTGGTTCACGTGTAAGGCCGTCCCAAGATGGGATCCATGAGCACAAGATTGTGGTCAACATATGCAGTGACATGCTTTAAAGATAAGTCTCTCAATTAATTACATCTTTATTTCATACTACATAGGGATGCACTAATTGAATTAAGTACAAGTTTAATGAAGACTACGGCTATGTCTGGGCTTCCCTGGTTGCTCAGCTGGTAAAGAATCCGCTTGCAGTGCAGGAGACCCGGTTCAATTCCTGGGTGGGGAAGACCCCCTGGGGAAGGGATAGGCTACCTACTCTAGGATTCTTGCCTGGAGAATTCCTATGGACAGAGGAGCCCAGTGGTCTGCAGTCCATGGGGTCGAAAATAGTCGGACACGACTGAGCCACTAAGCCCAGCATGGCTGCTATATCTTGTACTCTGCTAGATGATGGTTAAGTCAAAAGAGAGTTTCTTTTACGTAATTGGTTATTATTTGTATATGTGATTGTTGTTATCAGTCTTAAGTTAACACTTGGTGATGGCAGTGTCTGACATGTTTTAGAGGAATTGCCCTTTGTTGAGATGTTGGATGTGTGGTGTTCCTTGAAGCCTGCCACTTGATGAAGGTGGCATCATCATGATTGTAGTCCTAAGTACAGGTGTGAGATCTGCTGCAGTGAACCAAGTCTGGGAAGTGCTTTGCTTTCAAGGGTCAAGGAGAATATGCAAGCTGTCATTTCTAATGAATATGATATAGGACTTCAAGAAACCACTGATGGATTTTTCAGGGGCAGTTCTTACTGCCTTTAAAAAAATTATTTATTTGGCTCTGCAGGTTCTTAGTCTTGGCATACAGGATCTTAGTTGTGGCATGTGGAATCTGTTAATAGTCCTCTGACCAGGGATGTGTCACGAGAGTGTATGCTCCTCGGTTCTTTGTCTCGCTCGGTCACAACAAAAATTTGGAGTGATGGACATTGAAGCCCCCTCAGCGGGTCACAGCTCTCGGAGGACAGACCGTGTTATAGCTCTTAAATAAATCAGTGTTACAGCTCAGTGTTACAGTTCTATTTATTTAGATAATAGCAGCAAAACCCATCTTCGAGGCATGAGGGCACGTCGATCCAAAGACGCGAAGAGAAGAGCGCCCCATCACGAGGAGAGAGAGAAGAGGGCTTTGGCTCCTCTCTTTATATGTTTCTCTGTCCGTGGGCCTGTCTTATGTAAACTGGGCCAGTCAGGAGTGTTGTTTTACCTGAGGTTCTCACTCCGGTCCTCGGACCTTCCTTTGTTCTATTTTCGTGGGCTTTTCCCTTCCAGGTCTTTTAGCCACCACCGTTTTGGACTCCTTTTCCCTATTCTAACTACCTAACAGAGGGAACCTCGGCCCTCTGCACTGGGATTGGGAAGTCTTAGCCACTGGATCACAAGGGAAGTCCCTTATTGTCTTTAAATGAAAAAAATCATCTGAGCAGCTTTTCATTCCAATTCTGGCTCAGTTAAAAACAAAAACACAAAAATCGAAAAAACCCTCTTTTCTGGAGAAGAAAATCTCATTGGAGATCAGATGAGTGCTTTTAGAGACTTACAGCCTCCACCTCCCGGTGGACTCTTTTTGTTTCTTTTTTTTTTTTTTTTTTTTTTTTTTTTTTTTTTTTTTTTTTTTTTTTTTTTTTTTTNTTTTCCCCCCCCCCCCCCCTTTTTTTAAAGATTTTTGATATAGACCTTTTCCTTTTTTTTTTTAAGTCTTTATTGAATTTGTTACAATATTGATTCTGTTTTATGTTTTGGTTTTTTGGCCATGAGGCATGTGGGATCTTAGGTCCCCAACCGGGTATCAAACCTGCATCCCCCGCATTGAAAGGTGAGGTCTTAAGCACTGGAGCTCCAGGGAGGTCCTACCCTTGTTTTTTATTGGCTGGCTCCATCTTTTGTTGCTACCTCCCCTCTTACTCTCCACCGAAAGCCTTCCCTCTTCATTTGTAGGGAGAATTGATGAAAGAAAATGTGCTCAGATGCAAACCCACAGTGAGATACCACCTCAGACCCACTAGGGTGATTATAATGACAAAGACAGACAATAAGATGGAGAAACTGGAACTGGTGGAACTGAAAAAATGCAGACTCTCAGTAGGTGAGAGAGAACAATAAAGAAGGGAATTACCTCCAGCCTTTTAAATTCCTTTTCGTGAGATCTGTCCTTCACTTCTCACTTGCTCTCCTACCGACGCCACCTGGCCTTATTCACCCACGGCGTCACTGAGGCTTCTTCTTACAGTTGCCAGTAATTTTTGGTAAATCCAACCAACCTTTCTCAGTCCTCACCTTGTCTGGCCTCAGCAGCATTCGACTCAGACGCTGCCTCCTTTGCGTCTCTAGGCTTCTGCGACACTCTTCTCCTGGTTTTCTTCCTGCTCGGCCTCTTCCTCCCGCCTCTGTCATGAACAGCTTGTGCCTTTGCTGTTGGAGTTGCTTTGAGTTCTGTCCGAGACCCTCTTCTCTTCTTACTCCACACGCTTTTTCCTGAGTGATCTCGTGCCAGATTTCCAAGTCTCCAATCCAGATCTCTTTCTTTTAAAAATTATTATTATTTTTTTAAGTAGAGTTGATTTGCAGTATTAGTGTCAGGTGTATAGCAAAGTGATTTGGTTATACATATGTGTACATATCTATGCAGATCTCTTTCTTGATCTTCAGATTTATAAATCTGTCTATTCTACATACCCAC